TTTGTCGACTTATCGCGTCGTACTGCAATTAATACTTGTCGAGATAATATCCCGATAAACTTTAGAGCTTTGCTCCACGCGTCGAGACGGATATACAAACTAAATTATCGAATGTCGCCATTTATCTTGCGATAGATGAACAACATTTTCGGACACGTGTTTCATTCTTAGACACGCATTTGACACGTATTTTTTGAAAATTTCTTTAAATTTGCGAGAGAGTTATTAATTTTTTGGCATTTGTTGCGATTTACATTGGAATGATGTGTTTAATCTTATTTTTATCTAATCTAATTTATTGCACGTTTGTAATTGTCGATTCTCAGTATTATTAGACAAGATTTAAAAAATAAAAATAAGATAAAGATGATTAATTTATTAAATAAATGTTAAGAAGAATTGGACAATTTTTCCGGACTATATATTATTATTATACAATAAAGAAACAAATTACATTATAGGCTTATTTGCTGAGAGGTTTCATTTCCAACTCTTCTTTATTATCGGTTTGTAAGATAAGTACGTAATAAATTTTTAACTTACATTTAGTCACAAATAAGTTCTGACGTGCTATAACGCACGCAGTCCAATAAAAATTGCTTTTTCATGGACATCCATTTCTTCTTATCATAGAAAACATGGCATATTGAGATTTTACATTTTTTTCAATAGTTTGATTTATTTTCGCGCGCGCGAAGATGCGATACATATTCTATTAAGAAAAAAATTAATTGAACCTGCCAGATTCTTCGACTTATTGACAAGACTTCTTCAACGTACGTTAACCTTTGTACTGTTGAAAAAAATGATCTGAACTCAGATAATTCGACACCTCCGAAAATGTTTCAAATATTGTAAAAATGTAATATTTTATTAACTTCTACTAATTAATTGTTTTATCATGTCTAATATTTCAATTACTGCACACAAATTTGATAATTAAATCTGTTTAAAATTTAATGATATAGGATACATATATTAAAATGTATATACAGAGTGTTCGGTAAATTTTGATAAAGCGTTTGTAAGTAGGTAGAGCGAACTAAACTAAGTTGAAAAGTCCTCTACCATTTTGTAATTTTCGTAATAGTTAACAAGATATTACTTACTAAATATTGTTAAATATTGATTTTTAATAATTTTTTATTCAAGTTCTATTAACTTTATAGAAAAACAGTAAGAAACAAAAATTGTTTCTTTTCTTCTCATAGAGTTCTGAGAAGTTTTTCAGAATTTTTTAGTACCGCATTTTCTCATGTTGGTAAAAATTATAGTTGCTAATAAGAAAATGCAGTAAAAGGTAGATAAAAAATTATGAAAAAAAATCTTAGAGCTTTATAAGAAAAAAATAAACAATTTTTGTGTCTTGTCGTTTTTTTTGTAAAGTTGATAGTACTTGAGTAAAAAATTATTGAAGACCAACTGCGAAAATTGCAAAATGGTAAAGAACTTTTTGACTCAGTTTAGTCCGCTTTATCTGCTCACGAGCACATTGTCAAAACTTACCGAACACCCTGTTTACATATATTTTATATAATGTTCATATATTCTATTGTATATTATGTTATAATTTATATTAAATTTTTATACATTATTAAATAATTTATAATTCAATAAATAGAATGCGATAAAAGAAAGCCATAGAAAGTAAAAAATAATGCGATAACAATTGAAAATGTTAAGGCTTGAGAGATTCTATCAACGTTACTTTAATTTAAAGCATGGCTTAAAATTCTTTCCCTTTCTGTCTCTCTACTGGCTTTAAAAAAAAAAGAGAGATCTTTAAACTTCGCTTAAAGTCAAAACAACGTTGGAATCAGATCTAAGTGTGTTAAATTGATGAATGATTCAAAGCGTGAAAGAATTATCTACATTCGATTTTAAAAACCCTCCGTTGTTAATGAAATGCTATTTTTATACGATAAAAATCTTCTTTTCTGAAACACGATAAATCATGTACTTACATATTCTTTTATATTTTCAAATTCAAAAGAAATATTTATGTATTCTATTTATAACAAGGGCAGCAAGACTATAGTTAAATTTTAAACACTTCGGCCACTATGTTCGAAATTCTATCTTGTTAACAATAACGTAGACTAAAATTCTTTCAAATTCATACATTACGAAGTAGATTATTTACGTTTAGTGGTACCATAAGTCAATGATAATAATTTTGTTATGTCTATAGACGCGTGCAGTTTCAAGTGATAAACATCTTTATCACTTGAAATTGCGCGAGAGAAACTTAAAGACCGAGAGATCTTTCAAATGATATCCCTGGTGAAAATTTTTCTCATAATTTTTATATGAATTAAAATATTTTTCAGAAATATTCGGAAAGAACATATTCTCTCAGAATTTTTTATACAACTGTATTTTAAAATATTCTGAAATATTTTTCATCTCATAATTTTTACAAAATATTTTTAAATTTTTTAGATTTTATAACATTTCCTTAGAAATTATACTTACAAAAAATCTTAGAAATCTCTTATAATATTTTATAATTAACATATATGAAAAATTCTGAGAAAAGATATAGATTTTCTGAAAAATGTTCCAATTCGTATAAAAAATGTGAGAAAGTTATAAAATTATATAGAAATTCTAAAAAATTATATAGAAATTCTGAAAAATTATAAGAAAAATTCTGAGAAAAATTTTCACCAGCGATTTTAAATAAAAATTACGATTATTACTAGTTTCTATCCTGGCGAAAAAAACTTTTTACGAAAAAGTACAGAAAAATTATATAAATTGAGACAAGATCTAGAAATTCTCAATTTTTCGTAAATATTCGCAATGGGATGTAGAGTGGCGTTGTTTGAAGGGGATTTCTTGGTTTTTTAAACAAAGCTACTCTACGTTCCATTAGAAATATCTATGAAAAATAAAAAGATCTTATCTCAATCTTTTAAGATCTTATCTCAATCTATGTAGCTTCTCTTAAAAATTTTTCCGCCAGATACGTCTCACTAAAGCAATTTCCTTGAAGATCCATAATCATCGATCCTTACCTCTTGAGGATAGAACGGTGCTTGCAATGAAACACAAATGGCATTTGCGAAATCGGCAATACTGATGACAATTAAAGTAAGCCATTGTCGCTTGGTGAACTTAACCATAATGTCAATTTAATTCAATTTAAGTACACTTCTTCACACTCGTATGAATTTCGTACGTCACGAGATCGGATACACTGTATGAGTTACTTCAATCAGCAGAAAATCCGGGACGAGGAATTTCGGAGAATTTAAGTGAGACAGGCACCGGTTTTGCCGTTCAAAAGACTACTCACTCTTACGGGGTAAATAGACATATTTAATACACAATACTTATACACACACGCACAGTAAGATAAGTTTGTCTTGTCTCGTCTGATTCGTGGCGCGCGCACGTGTTTACTACGTGCGTGGTTGAGCGTCGTTGCCGCACTACTCAAGACGCATTGTTCACTTTTAAGGACTTCGCAAGAACTGGGAGAAGAGGGTCGGAGGTCGAATGATATGTCCTACCACGATTCTAATTTCATTATCGGCCAACGCGCTGTCAAGCGTCTCGCAAGCGTGTTACAGGGTATGAATCTACGATCGTCCGGCGTGGAGGATTGGTGTGCCTATTTTATTCCATTTAAAGTACTCCATTTATCTGTGTTATGCTTTTTTATAATCGCTTTTACATGTTCTTGCTCTTTTTGGATATAATGTTATCTAAGAAATTACATTTTATTCGTGTATTAGCGAAGACTTAAACGTCTTTCTAATCGTCAAACGAAGATTTTTTTTTTAAATTAATTTTTGAGCTGTATCATTTTTGTAAAATCTATTTGAGTCTAACAATAAGTCGTCTAATACAATTCAACAATTTTAACTTTCAATCAATTCCTTTATGTGAAGCCTTTCGACTTCAGAGTAAATTTTGTTTTATAATATTTTTACGTATTAAATAAATAACAATAATTGAAGCTATCAAATTTTATGTTTCTAAAAAAATTCCTATTAATCATTTTGTGAAGCTATACTGTTCAAAGCTGAGGCCGATCGGTTGAAAATTGTTCGAATTTTAGACGCTGCCAGTTGGAAAAAAGTAGTTTTGAGAAAAACGCGTTTAAAGTTTTATGATTGATTATTTAATAGAAATCTATTTATCTATCTATCTATCTTTCTAGCTATTATCTGCTTCTTCTATTATCTGCTGCACAGCTTCTTTCTTAAATCAGATGATGCGAATATACTTATATTATACGTAGTACTATGTGCTCGTTCGCTAAAACTCACGTAACTCGAGAAATACTTCGAATTTCATAAAAACCTTTTAGGAACATATTTTTAAGACATCAATCTTTTGAAAAAAGTAAAAATAAATGTTTCGATTTTTTGAAAATTTTACTCTGTTTTATCCCCTTAATAAAAAGTAATAAATATAAATATCTCTGAAAGGAAAGTTAGCATTTTTATTACCAATTATTGATCTTTTTCTATTAAAGTTGATTCGATAACAGGTTCTTTCATTAACTTATAATAATCTTTTCTTAATGGTAAAAATGCTGTACGGTTACATTTTACTTATTTCGAGGTAGACATATTTATTTCGTTGAAGACAAATTTGTATAAACGTGATAAAATTACTCACACTTACGCGCTTTACTTAATATATCTATAATTTTATACAGTTTTGTGACAATGTTTCTACGTTATATTCCTATGATGATAAACCTTATGACATGATAAATCGCAACGCAATAATTTGACAAAAAAAATTGAACATTTAATACAACTAGAATATAAATGTTCGTGAATCACAAATTATTTTATCAATTAACAAAAAAATTTAACGATTCAAACTTGATAAAAACATAAAACAAAGTTCAGAAACATAAAACAAAGTTTGGAAACATTATTTACATTTTATCGACCCACACACACACACAAGCTTTCAAATTGGTTTAAATACATAAATTTGTAGGTATAATTTATTTTAGTTTAAAATAAGTTGCATTAACAAAAATTGATCTTATTTGGACGATGGATTATGTATATTTTATCAGTGCTCGCTATTCGTGAATATTTTTTACGCATTATAAATCTTAACAAATTATGATTACTTACTCACTATTTATTATGTATTTTTATAGTAAAGATTATAATATCTATACAGTATAGATTATTCCAGCAATATTGCAGCAACATTGCAGTAACATTGCAATGCTCCAACAATATTGCTGAAATAATTTATACTGTATAGATACCTTTTTGCAATTATGAAATGTACGCTCATGTTTTGATGAAGTAATGCAACAGTCATGGATATCGTGTGTGAACTCTGCATGTCCTCGGAAATTGGGAACTATTACGCATCATGCATCCAAACTTTCAGGGGCATTTTGGTGAAAACACCGTTCAGGAAGTCTTTGAAGTACTTGGCGATACTTGAGCTGGCCGCTGGTCTCATTTCCTCAATTATTTCTTTAATATTCTGATTCAGGAATTGATTCATCGCCTGGCCGATAACGTTGTTGCCGTTCAGGTGATCGTTTATGCGAAATCTGGCTCGACCGAGACTAAAGTCGATTAGCAATCGAGAAATCTTCATGTAACGAATACCATTTCTTACTTCCTCGACACCTTGTAGGCGAGCGATTGCCTTTACGTCACCTGAAATATTAAAGTGTGAATATGCAAATCAGCAGACTGGCATATTTATTTAATAAATTGTGAAATTATCTGATATATATATATATATATATATACTCGTATATATAATATTTTGTTATACCTTATGAGAATTCTTACCGAATAATGCCCAAAAATCGCCGTGACTTTGAATGGGGAAGAGAAGTACGTTTCCGTTTATGTCATAGCTACCATGAATATCAATCTTCGGCAATGAAAGATGCATATCGAATCTATATGATGATATATTCACTCGTACTTTGTTGACGCTGTAGTTTCCTGGTCCTATCGTGGTGATGTTAGTGAAAATCGCCCTAACACGCACTGGACCTTGACCATTTTCCATCTTCAGTTCGGGAATCACCAGTGGCTCTATAGGAGGCACATCCAATTCCGGGATACCTATTAAAAAATTCCAATTAGAAACCATTTCCAATTAGCTCACAATCATTGAGAATAACGGAAGTGCAGGGATTTTAATAGAATGTATAATTTTATTCTACTATCAAGATAATTATGTAAGACGCTCAAGCATAATAAATAATGCTGCACAATGTTTTGATATTCTAGTAACCGGTTTGAGCGTCGTATATAATTATTTTGACGATCTAATAAGATTATTTTCTACAGATTTATATCTAACTAATTTTTTAGATACTTTAATGAAACCGGTTTTTCCGCGTATGTCAGTCATACTTTCGATTCAAACTTCTCAGTACATTTTGTAATGAAAAGTCTATACAGCATTTTTGTGATGTAATATCGAGTTTTCGATTAAAACTAGTTTAATTAAAAATATTAGACTTAATCTTGAGAGAGAGATTTTGGATTGTAAATCGAACATTTGAAAGGATTTTTACAATCACATGCACACGTATTTGTATACTGAAAGGTCATACATAGTGACTTTGTAACTATTACGTATTCTCATTAATGCATGAATTTGCTATGTTGCTAAACAGAGAACAGTTGTGATGCGGATACATGAATTACGATAAATTTATATAATTTTATGTAATATAATTTTATAGTCATGGTTAAAAATAGTTGTGACGTATAAAATATATTTATAGATAATAATTTAAGGGGTTGCTGAATAAACGGCTGAATTCTGAAAGGATTGTTGTTTCACTGATTAAACCAGATTTACACGTACGATTTACTGTACATTGACACATTATTACTACATCAATGCCGGACTCATACATACGTAAATTTTCATAATAATAAATAATAATTTTCATAATAAATTTTATATAATTTCGTATCGAATTAGGTCTGACACGAGAATGTTCCAAATTGCAAAAGTGATATTAAAAAATTAACGCTACCAGTCGAAAGATAATGTTTGAAATAGATATTCTAGATAGTCAAATCCTGGAATCCTGTAGATTCTCAATTTGGTACGAAACATATTTGGCTATTTTAACTTTGACACAAAATATCTCGAGAACAATACATTTTTGAACAAAATATTTCAAATAATAGTTGTAGAGTTTGAAGAGGACCATTAGATAAGATACTTAGATTTAAAAAAAATTAATTTGGGCTTTATTGGGCCAAAAAGTGACCACCTACGAGTCATTAAAATACTAATAGAAAAATCTATTGAGTATAACAAACCACTCGTATTGATATTTGTGGACTACGAGAAAGCATTTGACTTCATTAAACACAACGAATTGTTTAAAGCGCTAGCCGAGTAGACCAATAGATATTCGGCAATACTGCAACACATTTACGAGAGAGCAACAGCGTGTGTAAGAGTGCATGAGGAAACAGATAAATTCAGAATAGAACGGGGAGGATTGTCCGTCAAGGAGATACAATCTTCTCTAAATTGTTTATCACTCTCTTAGAGTACATGTTGAAGAGCATAAAGCTGGAGGATATGGGTATAAATATAAATAGAGAAAATTTAAATCATTTACGCTTTGCTGATGATATAGTGTTGATCTCGAATAGCCTAGAAAAGGCAGAAACATTACTTGCAAGGTTAACATCAGCCTCATAAAGTTGGGCTCAAAATAAATACAAACAAGACAAAATCTATGACAAACTTGGTTCCTAGCCAAAATATCCTGATGGAGGACAAGAAAATTGCTCAGGTCATATCCTACAAATATCTGGGCCATGAGATCAGGATCGGGAGAGATAATCAGAATGGCGAAATTGGAAGGTGTATTGGATTGGCATGGGCAGCCTTTGGAAAGTTGAGACATGTTTTTAAATCTGAAATATCTGTGTGCCTTAAATGTAAAGCGTTCGACCAGTATGTCTTGCCGGTTCTGCCTTACGAATCGGAAACTTTAACTTTAACACGAAAATCTATAAAAGAAATTGAGATGGCCTAAAGAAGAATGGAACGCTCCATGCTAGGAATCACATTAAGAGACAGAGTACCAAATAAAAAAATCGGTGAAAGAAGCAAAATCGCAGACGTAGTGAGGAGGATAACATAAAATGGAATTGGGCCGGACGTATTGCAAAAATGCCTAAAAAATGGACCAAAAGGATTATGGAATGGCGGTCTAGGCAAGATGCCTTTAGAAGCAGGAGTCGTCCACCACCTCGTTGGACAGACGATATAAAGCGAGCCAATACAAACTGATTCGAGAGGCGCGGGACGAAATAAATGAAAAATATTAAGAGAGACTTATATTCAGCAATGGACGAGACAAGCTGTTTGATGATGATTGTCTCTCTAATTACAATAGTTTTGGATAATGTTTTAAATGATTTTAATAGGTTTTTTTATTTCTTTATAGCAATCAAAGCCTTAAATGGTCTAGTTGAATCTTAAATGCTTCTATGATTCTGTGTGAATTTATATACTATTTATGCACTCCTTTCAAAACGCGCGCCGAAATGATTTTTCAATTTTGAAACATTAATTCTACTAAACCACCGCAGTAATATCACGAGTTAAAATTGACTAACAATTTAACAATTTTTTATGTTTTTTCGCATCTTCAAACGATCTTAATTATAAAATAAAACAAAATATAATCAGAAGAGCTACGTGCCAAAACAAAACACATTTTAATGTACATATGCTACAGTTGACATTAAGTAAAATAAAAATAAAAATAAATAACAAAATAATATAGCTACGAGCCAGAAATACGAACACAAAGAAAGTATATTTAAAAAAATTATAAATATAAAATTACAACAAACGTTTCGACGCCGAGTCGTTCTCAATGTTAAACAAAGCTTAAATATTAGAATATTACAAACTGCAAATCATATAAAATTTCAATAACTTAATACGTGTAAAACCTGATCTAAATACGCAAAATTTGTTGAAACGCTTGCAAAGATTTAGTCATTCTTGTTAGTCCTTCTATATAATCCAAAAATCCATCAATAATGGCATTATGCTTGTGTTCTTGTAAGCGATGTCCATTCTTATAAAGATGTTGAGTCAAAGGTTAAAATCTCGTAGTAGTCGTAAAAAGCTTTGGAAGCATTACAGCGATCTAAAAATTAACATAAAGAAATCTATAATGGCATCATGCTTGTATTCTTGTAAGCGATGTCCGTTATTATAAAGATGTTGAGTCAAAAGTTAAAATTTTGAACTAATCGTAAAAAGTAATCTTAAGTCTGATCTACAATTGCGTAAACGTAGTTGTAAGTGGTCGTAGTTGTAACAATTCGCCAATCACAGTCGGATTGCGAAAAATATTTACCTCGGTTGGGAGTCTTTGCCCTTTAGACTATCGAGGCACGGAATGCAAGAGATTCGACTCCCGGCCAAGATAAAATTTTTCGCATTAAGAATTAATTATTTACAGATTTTAATATGTCACTCAGCATCATTAAGATCGTTTCGAAGATGAGAAAAAGCATAAAAAATGGTTAAATTGCTAGTCAATTTTAACTCGTGATATTACTGCGGCAGTTTAGTAAAATTAGTGTTTCAAGATCGAAAAATCATTTCGGTGCGCGTTTCGAAAGGACTACATACGTAGTATTATAAATTCACACAGAATCATAGAAGCATTTAAGATTCAGCTAAACCGTTTAAGGCTTTGATTGCTATAATTGGTGTTATCACATATACAGTCCTATAATATATTATATTTTTTATTTCTTTATATATATTTTTAATTATATATATTTTGTATGAGTATCTTTTTATGTATTTCATAAATTTTCTATTTATTTTTTAGAAAAGATATCTCTACAAAGCGTGGACTATTATTTCACTTTTCGTATTTATTTGAATAATTTTTAATTCCTTTGAAATTAATCGTATGATGCCAATATTTTGCAATGACATTATTGTGCGTGTAATTATGCCGCAATGCTTTTCTGAATCCTGACTTCGCCTGTTACATCATTGTAAGTCTAAATCAGTTGTACAAATTTTCACGATATTTACTGAGCTCAAGGAAAGTTTACGCTCTTACGACATGAAAATATACTTTATGTAACAATCGCTATTAACATTTTATTACTTACGGGTTTATTTTGGGAATTGATATCATATAAACTTGATACAAAACAAAATAAAAACAAAATTTTTATTTATTAAAATAGTTATACGAAAATTTTTTGCGATATCTCTCTCTCTCTCTCTCTCGTACATGATTTATTATTTTTAATATTCATATTATTTTAACTTTTTAATATTTTAGTAGCAATTAATATTTTTCGTTGATCGATATTATTTTTATCGAACTACTATTTAAGCAACAAATATTACAAGACACATCTAAATTGACTGCTTAGCTATAAATAGAAGTGACAAATCGTATGTTCGTAATTTTAAACAAAATATTAATAAGGAAATACAATTTTATGATAGATGAAATTAACCTTATTTTTAAGCAAAAAATTGATATAACGCCTAAAATTTACATGTCCTTTTAATCTTTTGGTGTGTACTATTTTTTTCTGTTTACATTAAAATTTTTAATTATATTGCAAAGCAAATTGACGTCAACCAAGGATACTAGTAACACTATTGAAGTGATGCGATTATGTAGTTCATGTTTTCTGTAGCTCGTGTCATGCATTTCGCTATTTGATAAATTGCCGTTTTACTCACCTTTCACCAAATACGGATGGATATGGGCGAGCGTGTTAAGAAAGCACGCATCGATCTTTGGGTCTTTCTTGCTGCATGGTAGTATGTATTCGGCTGAGGAAAAAAGAAAACTTGACTGTAGGTCAATCAAATATTATGTAATGGAAATTATGTAATTAATAATAGGCATGCTAATAATGGTAACATGCATCACGATATTGAGTAACGCTAATCGCTAGTCTTTACAGGCAACGCACGTATTTGATAGTCCCCATTAATCTCCTTGAGTGTACATGTAATGTACTTTCCGGATTTAAATTCGCGGATACTAGAATATCTTACTTAAATTAATGATTTTTGTGTACTTTATGTTTTATGATCTGAAAAGATATAATTTTACATCCCTGGAACATTCTTGATTTCATGGGACTGCTATGATGTGCTTCTAGAACATGAAAAAGATGAGTAATTTTTGTATCGAAAGTAAAACTTTCTAAAATCATATTATTTATCATTATTGTTTTTATCTCTAATAAGAAATGTTATATAATAGTTATAGTAAACTATATTTGAAATATTAATAGTGTACAAAAATATTAAATAATTTAAAATTTATATACATGTTATACGGTTATTTTAAAAAATTTTAGTTTATAGAGTGATTCTAAGTTATTTTTTATTTATTTTAATATTTAATGATTTACCTGATATTTATTTGTTTTCTGTATTTAATCAACTCGTTAATTAATTATGTCTGAGTGATACACATAAATATTAATCTAGGTTGATCATTTCTCTCTAAAGAAGTCATTAAGATTTTTGCATACAGTTCCAATACATTATAGAAGTTTGAATAATACTACGATTTCGTTATCATCCCGAATGAGCAAAATTACCGATATTAACGCTATTATAGTTTCAATGAACTATTACTAGAAAATATTTGCCATTAACTCGAGCAATTTCGTCGAGGTCTTCTTATTTTTTTTTACCATGGTATTGTAGTAGAATGATGTAATTGTTCTAATGGAAATTACTCGATATGGAACAATAGGTCTGTTCTTTTTAGCTAAAGTTCTTGCACGGTTTATCTTTCTTCCTTTTTTTCTCTACGTTGGAGATAAAAAGAGAAAAGATAAACTATGCAAGAAGTTCAGCTAAAAAGAACTCCCCCCCCCCCCCCCTCCTACATTTTTCAGTGAATCGCTCTGTAAGGTCTTCTTAGTTTTTAAATCATTACTTTTAAGAATTTCGTAATGCTAATCATCAGTTAACTACGAGAGAGTGAAATAGCAAGAAAGAAAAAAATAATAATGTAAAGACCAAAACAATTTGAAATGTGGTAACATTTGATCTTTGTTATTAAAATCTATGTCAAAGAACAGAGACGTTTAATCCTTTTGTATTATTATTATGTTACGCATAGGAATCTGGACCACTTGACGCATCACTGGCATGGCTATTACGTTGCCGCTTTCTCTTGAGACACCGATCGACTTAACAAAAGAAGAAAAAAGTGTACTACGGGTTCTAATGCTTATTGCTACCAAAGCAAGAAAGTCGATTTGTAGGACACGTAGAAAGAGTACTGTGGCCGATAGCATATGCTAGTATTGGTTTAAACAATTCAAAAGTAGTGATGTCAAGCTCGACAATGAATCACGTTTTGGAGCCTGAGAAAGCTGAAGATATTGAATTAGAAGTACCGATCAAGGTTCATCATAAATGTATAACAAAAGCTCGCAGATAAATTAACATTCACTCAAGCCATTATTTTCAAATATTTAAGCGTAATGGAAAAGGTTCATAAAGAAGAAATTTAAGCATGGCAGAACGAGTTATGATGACTTAAAATGGATCATGATTAATTGAAAAGAGACGTAATCATTTCGGAGCTATTTTGACGTCATTTTCATGTCATGATGACTTGTTCTACTTGACTCGTTCTACATGACTTGTTCTACTTGAGAAGTTAGATGTCAAACATTTTTTAAAGCTTCAGTTTCTCCCTCGTCTCCATGAAGTGATGAAAAGTAGATATGACGTAGCTTTTGCATCTTTGTTTCGAGAGTTTAATTTACTAATCCAACGTGTATTTCGAAGAAATGTCATCACTCGTACTGTAATGTATACCGAATGAAGAATCGGTGTTGCTTTGTGTACATCGTTATAACATCGATTTTACCGGTACTTTCTCCAGACGATTGCCGTCGATCCTCGACACCGCAAATTACGCAATCTCTGACATAACCTTCGCTATACCGTTGAGAAACGTTACGCCATGATCCGAGACATTATATCGGTAAAGACCACCGTGACTAGTGTCGTTTTGTACACGTGGATTATTTTGCTGGATTGACTATTATTGTTGTTAGAAGAAATATTAGATAAAAAACGGATCTCTTTACAATGAGTACTAATTATGGTCATAAAAACAAAATGATTGCAATTGATACGGAAAAATTCGCGGAACGATATTATCCTTTGTAAATTTTTTAGTAAGCTTTATTGTTGTCTTCTTCTTTAATATCAAGATCATATTGTAATTTATGTGTTCATATTTTGATTTCTATATATAGTATTTTTATATTTATGAAAAAAGATTCTGACTTGTGAGATTTTTTAAATTCTGAATGCTCTAGTATTAACTATAAATAAATGACAATAAAAAATTTTCGCTTTATTTATATGTAAAAATAAATAAACCTACGTTTATTTTATGCCATTTTTTACTAATATTAATTTTAATTAAAAAACAAGATAAAAGTAATAACATTTTTAATATTTATTATTAAAAGTTATAATTAAAAAATTATTATTAGAAATTTTTATTGAAATTTATTTATTCTATTATCATTTTTTATAATTATTAAAACTTTATTTATTTAAATTGCTATTTATTATTATTTATTATTAAAATATTATCATTTATAAAAATTAAAATAATTTGTTCATAATAATTATAAGCAAGTATTTATATATCATTATGCACTGCATTTTAGAAAATTGCTTATTACAATTTAGTTTGAGATTTTACAGAACAAAATAATATAACGATATAGAATAGTAAAATAATGTAGTATTTAATTTTATATAAAAAGTTATCATATAAATTGCTATGTTAAACTTATAAAACATTTAAGCATATTAAACGAACGATTAAAATTTATAAAATATTTTTACATTTAGTAATGCAAAAAACTGATCTATATATAGTGTTTCGAAATATTTTAGCAAGTAAATCAATTCACAAAAGTCAAATGTGTAGTTTCGATCAAATTTTGGAAATATCGCGGAAAAGTTCGCGTGATTGATAGTTGGCAGTCTTATAATGGAGAGTGCAGGTGTAATCAAGACAATGAGTTTCCGTCATGTAATCATACGGTATGCCCATTGTTTATATTTCTCCGGATTACGACGAAAAGAGAAAGGCAGATATGCTCGAGATGTTCAGTGGAAAATGTAAATGAAAATGCAAGGTAAGATTACACTCGTGCGTAATCATTTCCTATTATCTTTTCCGTTCACACGTAATCAACATGGTCGCACACGTTCTCCCTCTCTCTCTCTCTCTTTTGTCATTGTAAAGTATATATAAATGCTAATATAAAAAAATAAACATATATTTTTATATACAGTTATAACAAATAAATAGGCTTTAACAATTTGTTAATAACAAGAATTATCAAATAAAATAATAATAAATTTTTTTTCGGAAGTGCGTGAAAAAATAGACTTCCGCGTTTTTTTCGAAATTCTAATGATTTGTTGAATAGAATTCTAACAATATTCTAACATAATGCTAATAATAGTGTAATGATTTGAATTTATTGAATAATAGCTGTATAACATTTGGAAACTTCAACAAATTTCGACAATAAAATTCAAATAAATAAATAAATAAATCATTATAAACGGTCATAGAAATACAAATATGTGTTGAAGTTATAATTTTAAAAAACGTTTATACTACAGCATGATGTTAGAATTTTTAATACGACTTTTAATGTTAAGCTTCATAAAAAACAATCGTTTGTATGCGTCTGTGTTACGGTGTCTCTTGGGCGATCAAGAATATATAATGAATATTACCACCGCCGTATATATGACTAATAAACGTGCATACCGCATAGCAATTAGTGTCAGTTCACCGTCTCAGCTTTTAATAATCGTGTGAAGTACAATTTAATAATAATGATATGACAATTGATTAATGATATGGATTAGACGGAAGAGAGAAATTATTTCATGATAGTCTTACGAGTGGGGAAATCTGGCTCATTAAGCCCACTGTTGACCTCCGTGACGTTCTGATCCTCGCAGGACACCAAGACAGCCCCACAAAGACCCAGAAGCAGAATGGAAGCTATCCTCACGAAGGCCATTCTGTCGGTACTCTTGCCGAGAAACACGACACTCCTCACTTTTCTGTCCTTACGTCTGTAAAAATGCGAGCAGATCCTTATAGCGATCACGCCATACGATTGATTATCCCTTGCAAGGGGCTTAAAAAGACTTTTAACTTGAACACCAGCAACTCTTCCGACAACTCTTTGAAGGTCGCACAAAAAATGATCGCAATGTCGATAAGTTCGCGAAAGAGACTGGTGCAAGGAAAGGACTCAATGCGAACGAGAAGACTCTTGCCAACAGAGTTGTACGGTTATTTTGTGATAAACTAAGGACGGGACCCCTTCATATCCTGTCTTATATGCGCCGTTCCCCTACTCTGAAGGTGTAACCCACTACTGCCTGCTGACTTTAAAGAGCCAACCATCGTGATTACCTCTTTTCACATCTGTATGACAATGCACTCTGAACCGATGTTCTATGATCAGCTACACACAAAATTTACATATGGTTGCGATAATCGCAACAATCGTGATATTATTGTCGAAGTTCTGTGTTTACGATAGAAACATTCTCTAGGAAGCCATGGACTTCATAACTTTTGTCGGTTGCCTTTCACACCATGACATTTGGTTACATTAGGTCTCAACTATTTTATAGTCCTTTTATTTTTGTAAAATTGTTCGTACAATTTTTCATACTTTCTCCATTATAAGAAATAAACGCATAAACCATAGTTGAACAAATTGTGTGCACATAAGTTTCTATTCAACTAATTAATGAAAAAATATTATATAGTAATTAATATGTATTATATATAATCAAACAATATTTTCGTATTTGTATATTGAATCATGTGTTACTATAATAGAATTATATAAAATCGATTCAAATTATTTATAATGTATCAAATTTTATATTAAATTTAATGAGTTGCATAATAAAAACACTTTAATGTGTGATATATATGTAAAATATATATTAAAACACACAGGTATATCGAAGTACATAAAATTATAAATATAATTTAAAATCTGACAATAAATTATAAAGTACCTAAAACAATATTTACAGTTATAACGTTTATTGTACAACTTAGCTATTTACAAACATATTTTTTAATGCCGTCGACAAAATTGTTATTTCTAATTTTTAAATAAGCCTAATTTTTTATTTAATTAATGCTTTTAATTTAATATAATTTACTTAAATCAATTTTATATTCTTTTAATAAAAGTTGTAAGCGTTAAATGCCAAAGCAATGAAATAAATTAATAAGACTACCTTTCTTCTTCCGTGATAGACGATAATAACGAACTTGATCGGCCTTGACCACTTAATGTTTCATTGTCTCTTAGAATTTATCCTCCGAGAAACCTGATTTTGCATTTCTGAGACATGCACAAGGGATAAATACCTTGTCGGACAGATAAATTAAAGTGCATATAAAAGTTTTGCATAGTGGACAACCAAGTTCACCTCGACTTCGTTGTAATTATCCTCCATCTTACTTACGTATCGTATACAAAAACCTTTTCTCGTCGTCTTGGAATCTTTATAACTGAAAAAAATGATTAAATATGATTTCATCTTAAAGATGCTAAGCATGCATTCAAAAAATCGTGTGATTCCATTTTCATGCTTTGACGTATACTGTCTGACATTTAAAAAATAATTGTGAAATTTGCATTATTTCTTTTGATTGGTGCATGGTGGAATCAGGTTGGTGCATGCAAGGAAATAAGCTATGCAGCATGCAGCACTCAATGCACAAACGAATTCTAGCATACATTAGAGCAGGCATGACTGTATGCATGTTATTATTCAAGAAATCGTCTGATTCCATCTTTACTTACGTCTGCAACAAGCCAACAGATGTGGTGTAAACCAGTTTGCTGATATTACTTGTTCTCCTTTTTATAATACTTTAATCGCAAATAATATGAATATAAAATGAATGTCAATAAATATAAATAAATATAAACTATAAAATGATTTTTTTTGCTCGAATATGTACATACAAATGAATAAGAACGTAGGTCAAACACGAGCTTAAAAATAAGATGAAAATTTATTAAGACATTAAACTATAACATAAAAGATGTGAGAGTTTTTCACAATCATTAATATATGGAACGTTTCGACTTTACTTAATCATCCTCAGCCATTAAAATAATTAGAGAAATTGTATAAGCTTAAAATATTATTAGTAACTTATTACAAATAAAATTAAATATTAGAAAGAACATACAAAACTAATCAACGAAACCATATTACAATATATAACATTAAATAAATTATTAAAAATTACGTCTTCTTTACATGAGTTGTCAAAACTTTCTTTGTTTAAAGATGAAAAAAGTGGAGTCAACTGGATAAGATTTTTTTTAAAGTCAATAAGATAAATGAAATTAATGGTCAATAAGAGTCTCAAGGTATATCTATGTATAAATATAAATAAAATTAAATTGAAAGTATTGTACCGAAAAAAAGGAGTCAATGTTTAAAAAACTTACTTAATTTTTCAAGATATGAGTTATATAGATAAAATCTGTAGATAGATATGTCCAAAATAAATACTATATATGTCCAAAGTATAAACTGTAAGTCCAGTCAATGAAAGAATAAATACTCAATATTAATTATAACTTTATAATACACTTTACAAAATTGTATATTAATTAATATTAGCGATAATTAAAATTTTTTCTTTGTTTCATGTTTTACTGCAAAATAAACAACAATTAAATATGAAGTAAGTAGAACGATCTTCTTAGGAGGATTATGACAAGATTTCATAACTACATTTGTAAGAGAAAAGACTGTCGACAGAATTGCAGTGGGAAAATGCAGAACATAGTTTTCTATATCTTTATATGCAATTGCAAGCTTGTAAAAATAACAATTACTTTTTTTTTGAAAAGAATATATATATATATATAATAATTGCTATTTTCTTAATCAAATAATTTACGCACTATACGCCTGCATTATTTGTTGTGTGTATAGATTTTGCTATATATATATATATATATATATATATATATAATACTTGAAAAAAGATTATTAATATATTTAGGACTATTAATACTGCACTGTATACATTTTAAAAATAATTGATCAAAGCATGTTATATATTATTAAATTACATATATTAATTACGTAATACACTATTAAATTAGACATATAATAAAAAAAAATATTTTTAACAATTTTTAAATAAACTCTCAAATAACTTGCATGTTTTTTTGAAAGCTTGTTACTTATTTCAACTTAGAATTAGCTAGCATTGATTTTTATTGCTTAACTGGTGTTATTTCTTATGTACTGTTATTTATACAAGGTGTCTCGAAATTTGAAGGTAATATTATTGCAGCGTAAAATTTCGTGAAAAGTCAAATAATAAAATCGAAGCTATTTTTGTTATAAAATGATGCACGGTTAGTAGGAAATGAATTTTAATGGATATCTTATATAAATTAACGCAAGTTTTATAGGAAATAAATGGCTCAAACGGTCTAATTGGATCTTAAGTGCTTGTACAACTCTGTGTGAATTTATATACTACGTATGTAGTCCTTTGAAAATGCGCGCTGAAATGATTTTTCGGTCTTGAAACGTAAATTTTACTAAACTTTACTGCTGTAGTAATATCATAAGTTAAATTGATTTGTAATTTAATAATTTGATGCTCTTTATATATCTTGAAATGACGATCTTAATAATGCTGAATGATACATTAAAATCTGTAAATAATTAATTCTTATTGTGAAAAGTATTATCCCGCCAAAAATAATTTCGGCGCGCATTTTAAAAGATTATATATGTAGTATATAAATTTACACAGAATTATACAAAAACTTAAGATCCATCTGGACTGTTTAAGGCATTTATTTCCTGTAGATTGTGTTCCTCACATTCACGATTCTAATACCTGGGATTTATTATTGTTAATGTAAGTTTTGTTTAAAATAATTTTAATCTTAAAAATCTAGCTGACGTAATTTAATAATTATGGACGCGATGTAAATTGCAGAATACACTAGGAAAAATGTTGAAAGATAAATGTGGAAGGAATTTTATATTGACCGTTGGTGTTTTTTATTATGGGACTATATTAACATCAATTTGACAATTCAAATATTGAGATTTTATATAAGACGGATTCTGCGATAAGAATGAATGCGAAAACATCACCATTTTTTCAAAGGGAAAACTATATATTAAATTGAACTTACATTTTATTTATTGTTAATATTAGCGATTATTTAAATAATTTTTATGAAAAGGAGCGACGAAAATGAGTTTATGATAAAGGATTGGAAGATAGGTTATGCTTTTTATAGTATCATATATAGTACTAACGAAAACTAATTGTATTATAAGTAAGTCGAAATGTTTGTTTTGTAAGTAATTTGTTAATAAATTTACTGTATATTTTTTGAACAATCTTCGCTTGTTAAAGCCACATTATTGTTTATATTTGGAAACTATTTTGTTCTGTATAGTAGTTTCTAAGTATAAACTTTTAAAATTTGTCTAATCACGAGTTGATTAAAAAGTCTTCTGTCCGTATAATGGTGTACGAAAAGCGACAATGTTTTAGTATTTAATATTAATTGCACGCATAGATACTGCATATAAGACATATATTACAAAATATCAATTAAAATAAGATTAATTCTTTATTTGTAATTATATTCACACAAAAAATATAATACAAGAAATATAATAAATAAATAAATGTTAAATTTATAAATTGTCCTATTTTATTAATATTATTATTAGACAGGAGATGCAAAAAAATACAATATTTGTGTAAAGAACATAAATAAAACATTACATATTATTGTGTTTAAATTAAAATATCATTAAACATCTTTAACGATCTAGCTGAATCTTATTTAAGTGCTTATATAATTCTGTGAATTTATATACAAACTACGTATGTAGTCCTTTAAACTGCGTGCCAAAATGATTTTTCCTTGAAACGCAAATTCTTCTAAACTATCGTATGAGTATTATTGCGAATAATATGATTAAGGCCTT